ACACACACACACACACACCATATCCAGATCTCTGCACCTAATTCTAAACCCCTGTGAACTGACTGGCCTTATAAACTGTGTGTGTGTGTGTGTGTGTGTGTGTGTGTGTGTGTGTGTAAACAGAGCGGCTTTAAGGTTAAAATCAGGCATGTTTGTGAAAGAGGGGAAAGAGTTCTTCTAAACTCTCTCTCTCTCTCTCTCTCTCTCTCTCACACACACACACACAGCTCTTTGTATCTGTATCAGTGTGAGGACCACATGAATCTGAACCTTGGTCGCCGTTTGTCACCGGAGACGTCTTCAGTGTTAATAGGAACAATCCGATCTGTTCTCGGGTCACATGACTCTGCCGTCACCTACACCTGCACCCATTGGACGGTACCAGCTTTTTTAAAGTGGACCAAACCTGGACAACGCCACGCGGTTCCAACAGCTGCTCGTTTGGGGCAGTGTTTCCTGAAACGAGGAAGAAGAAAACCTGGCTCATCCATTGGCCAGTAGCTCAGTCCATAGCGACTTGGCTTGGGAACCGGAGGGTGGCCGGTYCAAGTCCAGCATGGACGGAAGTTGGAGAGGTGCCAGTTCACCTCCTGGGCACTGCCGAGGTGCCCTTGAGCAAGGCACCGAACCCCCCAATTGCTCCCTGGGCGCCTTCATGACTGCCCACTCTTCCGTGTGGTCACTGTGTGGATTGTGTTCCGTGTGTGCTCCGTTCACACGGATGGGTAAAATACAGACGTCAGGTTTCCCCATGTTTGCATGTTGCTGTGTGTGGGACCATAAAGAGGAATCTTAATCTTTTCCACTGTGAGTGAACCGCACCAGGATTCACTTGCAAATTTCAAGCGGACCAGGGATCGCTCGTTTGGTCCGCACCAGAGTTCGAGCGTCCACACCACTCCAAACGAACCGAACCATCCGTGGAGGCGGACCAGGATTCGTTTAAAGCGCATCAGCTGTATGAAGAGACAAAAACTCCTGAAGACAAAGTTTACTGACGTTATAAAATGAGAAGTATGTCATGTTCTATAGACTTTCTATTGTCGCCCCCTGCTGGTCATTACACAGAAGACAGGTTTCAGGCACTTCCTCTGTGGCTTCACTTTCTGGACCCAGAGTCTGGCAGATGAAATCAGGATCAAGCAGCGGTCTGGTCACCTCTCTCACAGTCTCTCTCTTGTTCTGCTGCAGTAACAACGTGTCGTCTGTGTTCGCCCTCCAACGCTCCGACGACCTCAACAACAACTTCAAATCAAATATTCTGCTTTTTTCTTCCCAAGAACACTGAGCGGTTTGTCCACCTCCACGTTTCATCTCTCGACAAAACTGAGAAGAAGGAGAGGAGGAAATTCGGCCTCAGCCACTTAAACACAGGAGAGATCAACTCTATAGCCTGAACTCACACTGGTGTTTCCCTGCAGAGGAGAAAACTCCCTGTGACCAGTGTCGGAGAAGACGAGTCGGTGATAAACTTCACACTAATGAAATATCAGAGAGTGAAGCTCAGAGGACAGTCTCATAAAAAGGGATTGAAATTGGAAACAGGCTCAGAGTCTGACTCAGACTGTCTGTGTGTATACAGGTTCAATACAGTGTGTGTGTGTGTGTGTGTGTGTGTGTGGGGCCTCCTCTGCAGTTACAATACGACCACTTCACTGTGAGTAATGATTAAATCCTCTGCTCCGAGGCCGTGTTCACACATTTAAAAACACCTTCTTCTTCTTCTTCTCTTCTCTCTCATCCTCCTCTTTCTTCTTTTTCTGTGACTCTTTAACTTTAACGTGAATCAGTGTCAACTGTTTCCAGACTCACATCAGTTTCATATTAAATCTGACGTTTGTGAGAAACGAAGTGTAAAAAGAATTTGAGCCTGAATGTTTTGAACGTGGCTCAGTGGCTCAGTGGAAACAGTCTGTTCTGGTGCCAGTTTTAATTCAGCTGATAATTCCACACAAAGTGAATGATGAGAAATAAAATCTACTCTAAATGTGATTTCCTTACATATTTGATTCACCTT